AGGATATGTCCCAAGAATGCACCAAGATCGCCGAAGATTGGCACAAACGTGCCCCGAATTTGACCACCCACTGGAGCAAGCTTTCATAAGACAAAGCAACAAAAACGACAAAGAAAACTGTCAAGCCCTTTCTTACACTTGTCGGACCTCACTTTTCACGTCTTTTTTTGCGTTTTACACGCACTACGCAAAGGACCACCTGCCCAAGTCAAACGCCAGAGAAAAAGCAGCCAAGTGGACCAGCATGTCTGCAAAACAAGTGACATAACAGCAGCAAAGCCTTCAACAGAGCCCTGATCTAGACCCCACGGCCCCAATCACTTCCAACATACCTCCACGAGAAGGCTCAAAGAGAGCCCCAACATTGGGCGAAACGCGCCAAGATGGAGAAGGATGTGCCCAGGAATGCCTGAAGATCGCCGAAAAACCTGCCCTAAATTTGACCACCAACCGGAGCAAGCTTTCATAAGCAATAAAGCTCTCACAAACACATTTCTTGCACTTGTCCAAACCTTTGCGATGCTGGTTATGTTTTCTGGGGAAGATTGCAGTAATGACATCATGGATGTGCTCGTCAGGAGCAAGCTTTCATACGCAAACAAATTATAAAAAGAAGCTCTCAAAAACACCTTCCTTACACTTGTGGGACCTCATTTTTTCATGGTTTTTACAGTGTTTTATGCACATTGCACTTCAAAGCCTTCGAATGCGAGATAAGAAGATAAACCTCAAAAATTGCCTCCCGTGCAGGTAAAATGCAACTTTTTGAAGGTAAATAAGCTCAACACAAACCCATCCAAAGCCACTTTTTACTGTAAATTACAGTGTTTTATGGACCTTCGAACATGCAAAAAAAAGCCCGCGCGGTCTGCAAATCAGCTTGGCCCCCCCCCACCCCCCCCCTTCCCTTTCGGTAATACTTCCAAGCGCTACAGCGCTTTCCGTCATCTCAGCATTTCTACCTTGTTTCCGTGTTTGTTCGTTTCGACGGCCGAAGTAGTTTCCCCCCAAACCTTTTTTCAGAGCTTCCCGAGCGCTCTGGTCGGGTCAACGTCTGCATCTAAGTTGGAGCGCCAAACGAAAGACACTGTGCCAAGCATAACGCATTAAAAATATGACATTGATGGAACATATACAATAAGTACTTTTCCGGGGAAGAGACCGTGACTCACAACCTATACTGCATCGACAACGGACGCGATCATGCCGGCCCCCCCGCCCCACCCCACCCGCCACCCGCAAAAAGTTATACTGTAACCTCCATGTAACGTTGACATCAGAGAAACCCTCATGTAGCATCAACGTCATTATCCCACCCCAACCCCACACCCCCCCCCCCCCCCTATGTAACATGAACATCACCGCAGCATCACAAGTTATATGTAGTGTCGAGGGTCAAAAACGCACAAAACGCAGGGCCCTATTATCACCGTGCCTCCATCTACAACCTTCAGCCTATGTGGAAAGCCCAAACAAAACACGGCTACCAGTCGGATCTCTCTGAGCGGCAAGGACATCGTTGACGGAGGCGCTGATCCTCTGCTTTGTGTTTTTCAGAAAGATGTCGTAGATGTGTCGGCTCTCCGTTGTGTTCAGGCTGGGAGCCATCAGCAGAGTCACATCCTCACATGATGACAGGAGTTGCAGATTAGTTCGAAGGTTCTTCACCGAACAATTCAGAAGGCACTGCCGGCCATTCCGGGAACTACCCCAGTGCAACCAAGGATAGTTCCCAATGTTTTAGCTCCAGAAAAATCAGGATAGACTGTGAGCAAAGCTTAAAGCTTGGTGGACTGGGTCTATGTGGGAAGTGAGGATATAATGTGAACTCATCATGCCCCTACATTTTCGCAAAAGTGATTTAGCGGGACTTGCTGCGACATGTCGTAAGACCTTACAAAATCAGGTTGCTTCCCTACGTCCCAAAAATACAAACTCAGAAGCGTAGCTAGCAGAAAATGCAGTTTTAGGCCGATCGCGATTAGATTGGAGGCAATTGCTATTAGGTTGGACCTACACCATAGTAACAGGTGCCTTGCTAGTAGTAACAAGTGCCACGCTAGTAGTAACAGGTGCCTTACTAGTAGTAATCATGTTTGCTATTGGAAACAAGTGCCACGCTACTAGTAACAACCTTGATGAGACATCTCCACACGATTTGAAGCCCGCCATCTGTCGCACTGGCACCTCATATTGCACTCTATACACGGTGAATTGAACACCAAACCCTGCCAAACCCTGGTAGGTTGATGTCCTTGCTAGATGTCAAATTCTTGGTGAACCAGGGTCCGTGATTTTTAAACAAATGTTCACGAGACTTCATGCACCTCAAGCCACAACATTACGTGCTTGTTCATGACTCTGCAGGACATTGTGAGTGTTCACGCAAGCTGTGTTCTGCTCATGTGTAGCTCGGAGTCTCGTTTGCGTTGATTTTTGTGGCTCAAGCTCTTGTCCTGGCCACTGACATTTGATGAAATGCTTCTCGTTATTGACAAAATTACTGTCTGCAGGCTTGTTAGGCCCAAGCCCTGCTTTGTCAAGTGTGGATATGTGCGCCTGCACTTGGTTCCTGGTGTAATGTATGATTGTCCGCGAGAAATCATGAAGAAGACAAGCTTGCAACGTTGACAAACAAAAAGCCAAAAGTGCTGGCCAAGGCTTTGGGAGGCTCAGGACAGCCCACGTACTCCTCCAATTCCAAAGGTTATAGATGGTCTGGTATAAGCCCAAACTAAACGACCACATTGTCAAAATAAATTATGGTTCCAAAGCCTGTTCCCGCTGTCGTTGCGCAGTTGCAGTGGAAGGGTGTGGTACAGGTGTTGGTTCTTATTCGTCTGACAGGGTGCCTTGGCACCAGTTTGGGCACACCGACTCCGCGGACCAGGATGGGTTTCGTTTTAAGAGCCGCGAGTGAAATGAGCCCTTCTGACTTCGCTTTCTCTGACTTGGCGTATCAAGCAAGCAAGAAACAAAAAATAAAAAAACACAGATTGGAATGGTCACATCGTCTTCGTTCGATCCAAGTCTCTGGAACCCCGGGCAACAACTTGCAGCGACCAGAGGCATTCGCATTTGGTGCGAGGCTCGTGCTCTCAGTCTCGTTGCTGTGAAGGTTTAAATCCAAAGGCGCTTCGCCTGAAAAGGCTGTCTGAGCTCTCTGAGAGATTTCTGATGGGCAACTTCCAAGCGATCCTGGATCCTGGAAGATTTGGTTCTTTCTGGAACTGCAAATGTCGGCAAACCATTTCCCTTGTGGGGACGCTTAGCTCAACCCATCACATCTCATCTCACGTACAGTTGGGAGGCCAGCTGGCGCAGTTTTTTGCACAGTGGGGAGGTTCGAACTGATTTTTGTCTTATCTTCGGTAGAGATTCCGTCTTAGATCGTTTTTTGGTTTGCGAGGGAAGGGGAGAACACATTCGTCTGCAGAATCGATGCGGCGACAGACTGGTACTTGTTGGAGGCCATCGCTGGGAGGGTGGGAGCAGGGGCACCTGGTCTTTCTTCACCCGTTCGTGACTTGAAAAAAGCGCTGCATGCGAGACCATACAAAACCTGTAAGCGGATACACGATACATTTATAAAAGATGTGTGCCATCTCTTGCTTAACTCGGAGTTTGCGCATCTACAATATTTTCAGAGTGGATCTGGTTCCAAGGATCTCTGTGTTGTTGGTGTGTGTATGTGTGTGTAACCCTTGGAATCAAAGGGAACCTTAAGGTTTGGAACAGGGGGACGGGACACCTCTGGCATTTCCCGTCCAACGAAAAGGATGCCAGCAGGTGCTGATACAGTGGGGGACGCCCCACTGTGTACCTGTTCCACTACTTAGGAGAACAGGAGGAAATGGTACTCGACACACTTGTGTGTCGGAGCCTTTCCTTCTGTTCTCCTCTAGACTACTCTATAGGTTGCAGGTAGGCCTCCAAACTTTGTAAGGGGTTCTTTAACCTGAACTTTGGCCTCCACCCACTAGAATGGACCTCCAACTTTTGCTGTTTTGCTGTCTTGTTTGTCTTGTGCTTCTTGTCACCTACTAGCGATGGCCCCCAACCTGCCTTCGACGGCCTCCAACCTAAGAGCGAAGACCACCAACTTTGACCGCTTTGCTGTCTTGTGGTTTCTTGTCTCCAACCTACTAGCGATGGCCTCTCAACCTGCCTTCGATGGCCTCTAACCTAAGAGCGATGACCTCCAACTTTTGCACCTTGTTTTACTCAGGTTTTTTTAAACCTAGGCTGGCGTGTGGCACCGCTGTTAAGTCCGTATGCATATCCATAAGTGTGTGCGTCTGGCATGTTGTGGGTGGCAAACAAATTGAGTTGTCCCTGCAGCCATGGTGGCTGTCCCTGCAACCCCAACACCATGATAAACTGGACCCATGCCAAAGCATGCAAGTCTTTTTGTCATCAGACCTTCCAAGCTGACTTGCTATGTCCAAGTGGCTGTAGCTTGCCTTGAAGGCCAGCAAATGTCCTCCAAGCAGTAGTGCCACCGAAACACTTACCCCCACAGCACGATGCACTGTGCTGGGCCTCGTCGGGATTGGCTCAGGGGTCTTCGCCTCTGAAATCTCCATGGCAGCAAGGAATCTTCTCTCTCTCTCTCTCTTCTTAGGTTGGAGGCCATCACCAGTAAGTACAGTCCACCGCCTCTCCCTGAACGAGGGAAACAGTTTTATTCAATACTGCGTAGGTTTTCCGGCCAAAAGAGTGGGCCACCCTCAGGCCATCCACCTTCACCACTTGCAACAAATCTGAAGCATGAAAAATGCCATGGTTTATTCATCTTCATCCACTTTTCTACAATCACTGACATGATCCAGAAGTGCTGTCGTGGAGCAATTCGGACGTTCAAAGCATTTCGAAGCATTTGCACGCGGAGAGCAGCAGTGCCACCCAACACACGTGCGATGTTGCCTTCAACGACCAAAAGGAAAGTTCTGACATGTGTTCTTTCTGTGATAGGGTCTTTATGGTAACCCCGATGCTTTTACTGGGCCGACATCTGTATGGGTGCAAGGCGTCGAAGATTGCACAGCTCCGATGGTGCTAACAGCCACTATATGGCTGTTCCCCTCGGAGCCACAAAATCCTTTGGAACAGCTCGGCCGCGATCTTTGGAACCGAACCAGTGACTCAAAGGGTCGCCGTTCAGTCGTTCAGCAAAGTCACCCCAAAACGTGGTTCCTTTCCTTTTTAGCCCGCTCCCCCTCCTCCCTTAGTTAAGGGAGAGGTAGCTACTAGCTGCAACTAAGCTACCTAGGACGCAGGATAGCTCGCACTTCTTCAAGGAAGCTACCCCGGCCGCCCAAAAAGTGGGGGAAGCTTCTTTGAAGAAGCGCTCGCACCAATGATTTGGTTCCTAGATTTTTGAAGAAAACTTAACTAATAGCAATGGCCTCCAGCCTACTAGCGATGGCCTCAAACCTAGTAGCGTCCTTTCTGCTAGTGGTAATGGCCTCCAACCTAGTAAATAGCGTCCTTGCTACCAGTAGCAAAACACCAAATGAAAAAACAAGCTGATTTTCCGTTGCAAAATCCTCCTGTCGGAAGGAATAAAAGGGTCCACTCTGAGAGTCTTGGAGCTTGTGCGCTGTGCATTCGCCGAACGAACCACACCGCCAACTGTTTAAGTTTCACTTTATACATAATCACAAATCATATACACATCTGTAACTGTATCATATACGATGACCAAGAACAGAACACATCGAATTCCCGCTTAGTTTCACCGGAGGTCAAAACTCTGGTGCCTGCGTTCCACCTTCGCACGCGAAGCGTCGACACGGAGATCGCCTGGCCAGACCGGTCAGTGCACCTCAGCTTTCGGAAGAAAGTGAAGACGAAGAAAAGGTCTGCTAGTAACAAGTGCCACGCTACTAGGAACAGGTGCCTTACTAGTAGTAACAAGTGCCTCGCTAGTAGTAACAAGTGCCTCAGTACGAAGAAAAGGTCTGAAGTGACTTTGGGAGACTTTTTGGGCTTGAAGCTATTAGTAACAAGTGCATCGCTTCTAGTAACAAGTGCCTTACTAGTAGTGACAAGGACGCTACTAGGGGCTCCTGGCATCGCTACTAGGAGCAAGGACGCTACTAGTAGCTGCTCATCGTAAGATGGGCAGTCATCGTTCCTTGGACAACTCCTTGGACAACTAGTAGCTTCTTGTTACTACTAGTAAGGCACCTGTTACTACTAGCG